TATATAATATAAATAGTGAGCTGGAGCCCAATGAATAATAACAAAGTAAAGGGTTTTAATGAATGTTGTCTATGTAATTACAGAAAACGGAAATATGTTCATAATCATGTTCAGAAATCGAAGTTCATAACAGAAACAGATTCAGGATCATATTCATAATCAGAATTTACAGTTAACCATACGTGGTACATTTATTAGCACTAGCAGAAACAGTTGACCCATAAAAGGACGACCATAAAGGCATACAGTTGGCTCACGTGCGCGGAGACGGTATAGTTGACTCGTGAGACGTACAGTTGACCCGTAAATGAGACGTATACATAAGGATCCACAATAGTTGGCTCATGAGACGTACATTTGACCCATAATTGGGACGTAACAGAACAAATAACATATGTCATCTGAAGCTAATGATGTCACGAATACAGTTCAGAAACATAGGACAACCATTCATTCATGCAAAAAATAATATTTCAGAAAACAGATCATCTTATATCATTCATAAAATATTTATAATTGAACATAACTTTACAAAGTTATTATTCACAGATAACTGGTGGCTTCAAAAGACGAGTAGAGTAGGCAATTTACTTAACTTGAGGCGCGCGACCTACATAACATGATAGACACATACATTGAAACACACGTTCGAATTGTAACTTATTTCATTTGTTCTTAGTGTGTTTCTAGCCTTTATCGTCATCATGGTGTCTTAATCTTGGCCTAGGAATGCCTAGGATGGAATGAGGATGCAAAAATGTACTTGAAAATATTTTTCAAAACTTGCTGAAAATAGGGTTCATGCTCGAGCGTGCAAAATGTGAGGGTCCACTCGAGCACAACTTCCTTCGCTCGAGCGGTTTGCAAACTTTGAAAAAATACTGGTTGTTTGATTTTCACGCTCGACAGACGCTCAATCCTCGCTCGAGCGTGAGACTTAGACCTTCGCTCAAGCGTGACTTTTGTCGCTCGAGCGATCTGCGAAAACACATGAACTTCTGGGAGCATGCATTTCACGCTTGAGTGGACTTCTGGTTGCTCGAGCCGAAATGCAAGATTACAGGGTCACCGCTCGAGCATAGAATTCGACGCTCGAGCGGAAGTGCAAAATTTAGAATTTCCATATTGCACTCCCCAGCTCCAAGCTCGAATTCTACATCCCAAAACTCATCTTCTTAGGCCAAAATTCTAGAGAACATCTAGGAACTTGTAAAATATCATGGTTTGAAGATCATTTTATGAAATCAAGGCCCAAAAGTATGTCAAACATGCAAAAATTCAACTTGAAATATAAAAACATGGTATGAACATGACATGCATGTGTTCACTTGAGTTCATAGCTTCCAAAACATGATCAAATGAGATATTCTACTCAACAACATGGTGAATTCTTAGACTAAAACCAAAATATGAACATGCATGTAGGAATTCTTGTAAAACAACTTCAAAACCTCATGATATGCACATGCATGCATGAGTCAAGTTCAATTCTATCATCAAATCTCAATTCTCTTTGAATAATGCATAACAACTTCATTTCTTGATGATCTCACATGTAATTGAGCCTAAGGTTACAAAATGTGAGTTGAAGTCTTACCTAAGGCTCAAATTCTTCAAGGTGGAGCTTAATTCCTTTGAATTCACTTTAATCTCCTCCAAATTCTAACAATCACTCTACAATTTGAGCTCAATTTCCTCTCTCCCACTCTCACACGTTTTTGATGGTCAAGCAAGAGGAAGTGGAAGTATAAATGTGTGTAGGAGGTAATGAGATGGCCTTATATAGGCTTGATTAATAAATTCATTAATTTGAGCTTAATTGAGCATTAATTATTCTAATTATTTCATTCCGAATCGAATTTTAATTAAACTTACTATAAAATTCTAAAAAATTTAATTAACTCATAAATCAAGCCAATTTCTGAATCGGATGCCGTTAAGGCCTTCAATTCGCAAATCGAAATGGAAATATGAACAAATCTTTCTACGTTAAACAGATATAAACACAAATAAGAAAATGTATGATGTAAAATTTCACTTTAATTTCTTATTAGGCGTAATTAAGCATGAATTAACGTTAATCATGGGTCGGGGTTGTTACAGTCTTCCCCCCTTAAAAGAGTTTGGTCCTCCAAACTCGAATTATCTTCGTTTTAGAAAAACGTTGGGTCTAATGGAAATAAATTCGGATATCTCTTCATCATATCTTCTTCTGTTTCCCATGTAGTATAAGTTCCTCCATGGTTTTGCCAATCAACTTTCACCAATGGTATTTCTTTATTTCTTAATCTTTTGATCCGACGATTCACAATCTGAATAGGTCTTTCTTTATATGTATAATCATCCTTCAAAAGCATATGTGTCGGCTCGATAACATGGTGCGGATCTCATAAGTAATCCCGTAACATTGAGATATGAAAGACATTATGCATATGCCCCATAACCAGTGGTCAGGCTACTCGATACGTCACTGGGTTGATTTTCTCCAAAACTTCATATGGCCCAATATATCTCGGTGCTAATTTGCCCTTAACACCAAACCACGTTTGTCCTTTCATAGGAGTTACTTTTATGAACACATGATTCCCGACTGCATATTCTTTATCTCTTCTTCGGACATCAACATAACTCTTTTGGCGGCTCTGCGCAGTTTTAGACGTTGTTGAATCAACTTCACTTTTTCAGTTGTTTCTTGAACAAGCTCTGGGCCCAAAAATGGTTTGTCACCTACTTTAGCCCAATAAATAGGAGATCAACATTTTCTTCCATACAGAGCTTCATAAGGAGCTATTCCAATGCTTAAATGATAGCTGTTATTGTATACAAATTCAGCTAAAGGAAGATAAGTCTCCCAATTCCCTTGGAAGTCTAACACATACATCCGCAGTATATCTTTTAAATTCTGATTGGTTCTTTCAGATTGACCGTCTGTCTGTGGATGGTAAGCACTACTCAATCACAATTCGGTTTGCTAAGCCTGTTGCAAACTCTGCCAAATCTTGATGTAAACTTCGAATCTCTGTGAGATACAATCGATACTGGTACACCATGTAATCTCACAATTTCATTCACATATATGTTAACTAGCTTGTCTGCATTATAAATAGTTTTAATAGGCAGAAAATGTGCAAACTTAGTTAAACGATCAACAATGACCTAGACAAAATCCATAACTCGAGAGGAGCGAGGCAATCCAACGATAAAGTCCATCGTGATGTGTTCCCACTTCCACTTCGGTATTTAAAGCGGTTGTAGTAAACCAGCAGGTCGTTGATGTTCGGCTTTAACCTGTTGGCAATGCAAACATCTAGCCACGAAATCTGCAATACATTTTTTCATTCCCGGCCACCAGAAATTTTATTTCAAGTCATGGTACATTTTTGTGTTTCCCGGATGCATAGCAAATTTGGAATTGTGAGCTTCAGCTAGAAGGCGTTTTCTTAAGTCACAACAATCTGGTACGCAAAGGCGATCCTGGAATTTCAACACATTATTCTCCAGTACAAACCCGGGCCTTGGTTTGGAGCCAATTTCTTCCACGATCTTTTTCAAAAATTCATCTTGTAACTGAGTTTCTCTAATTTCTTCAATGATTGCAGGTTGAGCAAAAATGAGACCCCGCATTGTTCTTGTAATACCACCTCGACCTCACTCTGTTCCAAGTCACATAACAATTCTTTCTGACCGGTGAGTAAACATGACAAATTCTTGATAGATTTTCGACTCAATGCATCTGTAACTGTATTTGCCTTCCCTGGACGGTATAAAATTTGCAAGTCATAGTCTTTGATCAACTCTAGCCATTTTCTCTGTCTTATGTTCAGTTCTTTTTGGGTGAAGAAATATTTGAGGCTTTTGTGGTCTATATACACTTCACAAGTCACACCATACAAATAGTGTCGCCAAATTTTCAAAGCAAATACTATGGATGCCAATTCAAGATCATGAGTCGGATAGTTCTTTTCATGAGAACGGAGTTGCTGAGAGGTGTAAGCAATTACTTTTCCATTTTACATTATTACACAACCCAAACCTTTGTAAGATGCATCACTGTAAATCTAAAATTCATCAGTACCATTAGGCAGAGCCAAAATCGGTACAGTTACTAATCTGGTTTTCAATTCTTGGAAGACAGATTTCCTTTGATCATTCCAATCAAATGACACATTTTTCTTGGTTAACTGAGTCAATGGCATAGCAAGTTTTGAAAAGTCTTTTACAAATCTTTTGTAGTAGCCTGCAAGTCCCAAAAAACTCTTAACTTTTGACACAGTTGTCGGTTCAGGCAAGTCCACTATAGCTTCAATTTTCTGTGGGTCCACTGAAATACCATCCATGTTGATCACATGCCCTAAAAATGTCACATTATCAAGCCAGAATTCACGTTTAGAAAATTTCGCATACAACTTCTTTTCTCTTAGGATCTGCAAAACGGTTTTCAAATGATTTCCATGTTTTTCCCTATTTTTGGAGTATATCAAAATATCATCTATAAACACAATAACAAATTCATCTAGATATGATTTAAACACCCTGTTCATAAGGTCCATAAAGGCTGCAGGTGCATTTGTTACCCCAAATGGCATGACCAGAAATTCATAGTGTCCGTATCTAGTTCTGAATGCAGTTTTCTCTATGTCTTCTACCTTAACCTTTAATTGGTGGTACCCGGATCTAAGGTCTATCTTAGAGAACACTTGTGCCCCTTGGAGTTGGTCAAATAGATTATCTATTCGGGATAATGGATATTTATTCTTCATAGTCACTTTGTTCAATTCTCTGTAATCTATACACAACTGTAAGGACCCATCTTTCTTTTTAACAAATAAAACTGGAGCACCCCAGGGTGAAGTGCTCAGGCGGATAAATTTCTTGTTTAAGAGTTCTTAGAGCTGAACTTTCAACTCTTTTAGTTCAGAAATTGACATTCTATATGGGGTTTTGGAAATAGGTTGTGTTCCAGGTACTACATCAATTGTAAACTTAATTTCCCTATCAATTTAAATCCCTGATAAATCATTAGGAAACACATCAGGAAAGTCACAAACTACAGGAATAGTTTCCATATTGGCACTATCCGGAGACTCAGTCAACATACTACACAAGTAACATCGACAACCTTTTCTCAACAATTTTCTAGCTTTCATGGATGAAATCAAGTATAGGGGAGGTATTACACCAATTCCGTTAAATATAAACTCGGGAAATCTAGTTGGATGAAACACAACTTGTTTTGTTACATAATTAATAGAGGCATGATATTTTGTTAACCAATCCATTTCCAAAATTACATCAAAATGATCAAGGTTTAGAGGCAATAAGTCAACATATAAAAGCACATCTCCAATAACAATCTCACATGCAGGATACATATAAGCACATGTCATGGACCCCCTAGCAAGTGAAAATGCAGCTAATAAATAATTCATAGGTTCCAGTGGTCTATCTAATTTTTGTGAAAAAGCATGCGAGACAAATGAATGTGTAGACCCCGAATCAATCAGAATATAAACATTTTGAGCACAAATTGAAAGTATACCTGGCACCACTATTTCGGTGTTCTGTACATCCCCTAGTACAAGTGCGAACACCTGGCCTTGCTTCAAAGGTTCTTTTTCCGTATTAGTTCTAACATTTGGTCTTGATCCAGAAGTAGATCCTGTTGTACTTGCTACAAGATGATTGGCGTCTTTTGACCCAATTGGACAATCTCTTATCATATGGCCAGCTTTGCCGCACCGGAAACAGGCACCAGACACTCGATGGCAAACTCCTTTATGTCTCCTCCCACATTGAGTACAAACAGATGCAGACCCACTGCTTTGACTTGAGCTGCTAGAGGATCTCGTATTTTGTTTCTTATTTACAGTAAATGAACGACCCTTCTTGAAATTAAATCCAGATCTTTTCTCTTTCCACTCAGTGATTGGGGCTGGAGTTTGTTTCTTTGCTACCAAAATGGTTTCTGCCATCAATGCCATATCGAGCACATTCACATAAGTAGGTAGGTTGAGGACTCCTATCCGATCTAATATCTCCAAGTCCAATCCACTCTCAAATTTTTGAGCTTTCTTATACTCTGTGTCCACCATATGAGACGCAAACCGGGCTAGTTCAGTAAATTTCGCCTTATATTCGGCTATAAACATTTTGTCTTGCTTAAGCTCCTGAAACTCTAAAACCTTTCGATCCCGAAAATACTGAGGGAAGTACTTGTCATAGAAGATCGCATTAAATTGAGCCCATGTCAAGTTCTCATTACTCTTTCGGATCAACAACCACCATCTTCGGGCTTCGTCCTTCAAGGTGTAGGTGGACAAAAGAACTTTCTAGATCTCAGAATAGGGAAACACTTCGAATAATTTCTCCATCTCTAATAACCATGTTTCAGCTTTTAGTGGTTCAATACCACCAAGAAAAGTCGGCGGCTTCATCTTCATGAATTTCTATGTCAGGTTAATCATATCATTATTATTTGGCTCATGTCATGCTGGTGGAGGCGGAGGGGGCAAAGGTTGTTGCCTCTGTTGCTGTGTCAATGTTTCAGTCAAGGCTGCGAGCATCTGTTCCATCTGGCTCATGTGAGCCTCTGAGGATTCATTGGTATCATTTCCCCTTGCATTCTCCATGTTGCTATAAAGACACCAAGTAACAACAAACATAGGAATAATCTTGTTCATTTCTTTCATTTTATTTATCCTGATTCAAATTCAATTTTCACATTCATAAGATTACCACACACACACACATGTAGATGGAATGCCCCTACCTCTTACTTGGACATCCTAAGCTCATATGAACTCGTGTGTGTGGTAGAACATGTACTCTGATACCATTATGTCACGACCCGAACCCGCCTTATGGGTTTAGCGTCATAACCGACCAGTAATTCTTGGATTACCACAGGCCTCTGAACAGAATAACATATAATAGGGGCTGCGGAAGCAAATATACAAAATTTATATAGTCTATAGAGCTGTGCAGACATACATGGGATTGAAATTTTCAAAACAAACTTATATTTATATATACAGATGTGATGTCAAAAGTACATTAGTCTTACGTCACCAAATACAAAAATAGAGTCAAAGGGAACTTAGCCCAAGTACAAATATACAGAACCAACTCAACTAAAGCCTTGCCATGATCCTCTCAAAAGGAACCTCCTCGGGAGGCATGGTAGTTGGCTAACAAAACAGAATCTTAAGCCATCAACTCTGGGCCTGGTCACATGCTTGCTCACCTGCATATATAATATAAATAGTGAGCTGGAGCCCAGTGAATAATAACAAAGTAAAGGGTTTTAATGAATGTTGTCTATGCAATTACAGAAAACGAAAATAGGTTCATAATCATGTTAAGAAATCGAAGTTCATAACAGAAACAGATTCAAGATCATATTCATAATCAGAATTTGCAGTTAACCATACGTGGTACATTCATTAGCACTAGCAGAAACAGTTGACCCATAAAGGGACGACCATAAAGGCATACAGTTGGCTCACGTGCGCGGAGACGGTACGGTTGACTCGTGAGACGTACAATTGGCCCATAAATGAGACGTATATATAAGGATTCATAACAGTTGGCTCATGAGACGTACATTTGACCCATAATTGGGACGTAACAGAACAGATAACAGATGTCATCTGAAGCTAATGATGTCACGGATACAGTTCAGAAACATAGGACAACCATTCATTCATGTAAAAAATAATATTCAGAAAACAGATCATTTTATATCATTCAGAAAATATTTATAATTGAACATAACTTTACAAAGTTATTACTCACAGATAACTAGTGGCTCCAAAAGACGAGTAGAGAGTAGGCAATTCACTTAACTTAAGGCGCACGACCTACATAACATGATAGACACATACATTGAAACATACGTTCGGATTGTGCATAACTTATTTCATTTGTTCTTAGTGTGTTTCTAGCCTTTATCCTCATCATGGTGTCTTAATCTTGGCCTAGAAATGCCTAGGATGGAATGAGGATGCAAAAATGTACTTGAAAACATTTTTCAAAACTTGTTGAAAACATTTTTCAAAACTTGCTGAAAACAGGGTTCATGCTCGAGCGTGCAAAATGTGAGGATCCGCTCGAGTGTGAGACTCAGACCTTCGCTCAAGCATGACTTTTGTTGCTCGAGCGATCTGCAAAAACACATGAACTTCTGGAAGCATGCATTTTACGCTCGAGCAGAATTCTGGTCGCTCGAGCCAAAGTGCAAGATTACAGGGTCACCGCTTGAGCGTAGAATCCGACGCTCGAGCGGAAGTGCAAGATCTGGAATTTCCAGATTGCACTGTCTAGCTCCAAGCTCGAATTCTACACCGCAAAACTCATCTTCTTAGGCCAAAATTCTGGAGAACATCTAGGAACTTGTAAAATATCATGGTTTGAACATCTTCAAACTTATTTTTGAGCTTGTTTTTCTCTATTTTTTAAATATTCTTTTTGGGTCATTTCCCCCAATTTTTTAAAATTTTATTTTGGGTCATAAATCACATGTTTCTAATCATGAAATCATTATTTTTCAAATGATTTATCCCAAATAAATTATAGCATATCTATCCGATTTACTTCTAGAAGAAAACAGACCATAAGCACAGGTTAAGATCAGTCAATTTACTTACATTCACTTTGCAGAAAAAAGTATAAGCTAAACAAAACTCATAGTTGTTTTAATAAAATGGAACAAACATCTCTTCTGAAAAATTGATTTTAGAGTTTGCTTAACTCACTAACTTGTGAAAAACAAGAAGCATAACCATAAATAAACCCTTTCACTCATTTTATTATAAGTTGCCAGTATTTGTTGGGTTTCTACACTTGCAATGCACAACAAGTTGCAAAACATTTGTTTATTTGCAAGTGGGTGAGAGAAGAGAATACTAGGGTTACACATAGAGATGTAAGAAAAATTGAAAAAATTGACCAAACCGATTGAACTAAACCAAACGAGTTATATTTGGTCAGTTTTTTTAATATGAAACGGTCTATGCGATTTTTATAACTAATTTTTTTGATTTTCGGGTTAAGCACTTAGTGCATTGAATTAAACCAAAACCAACCGAAAGTTTCGCATATGAAACATAATATATATTAAATATATAATGAAGTTGGTTGAGTACAAAATTCAATGATTCACTTAATTGTTTATTTTTTCTTAAATATCTAGATTTGACAATAGATATTAGCAATGTGATAAGTATTTAGTTTGCTAGTCATGTGCTTGAGTCAAGTTTTGCTACTACTATGCATATATAGCTATATTAGATGTTTATATCATTTTCAATTTTTTGTTTAACTCTACTTGATAGATTTGTGATTTAGTCTTATGGGATGATGGTTATAAATTTTAGATTATATTTTGTTTCTAATTCTACTCTAGTAAAATTTGGCCAAATTTATAAACTGAGACCATTGATTTATAAATCAAAAATTTACCAAATAAATTTTTATTTGAGTTTTTTAAATTTTTGTAAATATAAACAGAATACTGAAAACGTAAATGTTACCAAACGACACCTTAATATTAATTCTTTTGTTTATATTTTTGTGAATGGTTGGATTGGATATTGAAATAATGTACAAATGGTTAATTCAATATTTTTATTTAAATTATTTACTATGTGGGTGTTTGGGAAGTTGTTATTTTAGTAGGTTTTTTTATTTTTTGATTATTTTTGGAGGAAATTTTTTTTGTGTTTAGGAAGATAGTTGAATTTTTTTGTAGTTGGATGTGATGTTTGTGAGAGAAAAAGTGAAATGATTATGCATTTGATGTGATATTTTGTCTGGATTTATTTTATTTTATTTTGTTTTTTTAACCTATTTTGTCTTTTAGCAAAAAACTAACAAAAAAAACAAAAAAAAAATTCTTCCCAAACACCGCTTATATTACAAATTTAAGAAGTAACTAAAATTTGAAAAGTTGTACGCACTAAGCTGAATTGTCTGAATTGGTGCGATTTGGTACAGTTTAGTAAAAAATTAGATTTGTATCAGTTCTCAATATAATAAAATCGACATTATCAGTTTGGTGTAAAATTTCACCTAAACACCGATCGTCCTAAATCGATTACATCCCTAATTACATACTTACAAAACTTATAAGAAAATCTGATGGTCCAGATTTAAATAAAAAAAAAAATTTATATACAGATGCGGACGGATAAATACAAGTTTTAAGAAAAACCACAACTTGTTGTTCGTGACCTGCAAAATAGAAAAATCTTTACCCGCATCTCACCCTAACAATTATGGAAATTTGTCCAAATAAATGCAGATGATTTGAGTTAGACAGTTTTCACAGGCCAAATAAGCCTATGCCCAACCTTAACAGTAGGCATACATATGACAGGAAAATGTGGCAAGAGTATCTATACTATATATTAAGCAAAAGGGGGTTTCTAACCCCCAAGGCTTGTGGGAGTTTCAATATGCCAATTCTAATTTTCTAATTTTTTATTTTTTTTTAAAAAAAAATTAGCCTCAACATTTATTAACTTTTCTTAACCCACAAGACTTTTTAACTTCTCTCATAATTACTACAGTACATTTTTCAAAACAAATAATTTGTATATTAAAAAAAATTTAAAACAAATATAAATATCTATATCTATATGTATCTATTTATTTATATTTATCTCTAACTCACAAGTTTTGTGGGAGTTCCAATATTTGAACCTTAATTTCTTAATTTTTTTGATTTTTTTTGAAAAAAAAACTTAGCACTTATTAAATTTTTTGAAGTCTTTTTAACTTCTCCAATACATACACTCTTTTTAACTTTTCACATACCTATTGCAAACAATAAGTCTCCTTTTTGTTTTCTCATTCTTAACTTCTCACTTCTACACTTTCAACTTCAGTGACCACGTATGCAAACAGTAAGTCTTCTTTTTGTTTTCTCCACCTTGACTTTTCCTTTTGTTTACTGTTTTAATATTGTAGTTAGATAGCGCATAAAAATATTTGTGATTTGTCTTGCGAATAAAAAATTATAATTTGATTTTTTAATATGATAATAAACCCTCACAAAGAGAAAAATGTGATTATAATTAGTTGAATGTTTCTTTTTTTTTTAATGTGATTGTAGTTAGTTTAATAGTTCTTTTTTTTCATTTATTTATTTTATTATGGGAAAAATGTAATGTAATTGAAGTTTGTTCAATGACACTTATTTTTTAATATGATTGTTGTAGTTAGTTCAATGGTTTTTTTAATGTTATTTAATCTTTTTATTTACTATTTTAATTTTATTTTTAATACGATTGAAATTAAATAAACATAAACACTCACAAAGAAAAAAATGTGATTGTAATGTGACGTGATTGTAATTTGTTCAATGGCTCTTTTTTTTAATATGATTGTTGTAGTTAGTTTAATGTTTTTTTTAATGTTATTTAATCTTTTTATTTACTATTTTAATTTTATTTGTTGTTTGAGATGTCCTAAATAAGTGCACTTTCTGACTTTTTGGACTAAAAAGTTGAAGAAAAAAATATAGTTGTTTGGGTTAA